TATTTCACTTTTTTTATTCATATATCAAAAAAAAATTACAAGATACAATATTAAGTAGATTGACTCTCTTTAACATCATAGTCTCAGCCTCAAAAAATGGCTAATTAACAAAGACCTTGCTTTTAATGTGTTTATCCAGAGGAAAAATATATTTACTTCAGAGTTTAAAATCTGAGATAAATATATAATTTTATTTAATTGATATAAATATGAAATGTTATTCGATTAAAATAAAAAGATTTTCTCTAGATAAAGGGGGGAGTGGAGTTAGGCCTATTCCACATTTTTAATCTAATCACAATTTAAAAATGCGTTAATATTCGAAAATAAGAATTCAATTTTATCAGTATTTTGTTGGAAAATTGAGATTAGAAAAAATGTGCAATAGGGAACCATACAAAAACGCGTCTGATGTTCAACCTCCTGGGTGACGCGGAATAGAACATACAACTTTTTAATTTTATTGTTATAAATTTTGCCATGAATTTTATTAAAATTTTTGCAAATAATTGAATTCTTGTAGTGAATGCTTATATTTATGAAAAAATTTAAATTTTGTCAATGAATTCAGCTTCATTATTTTTGGGCTCTTCAAAAATACTATACCCAATTTTTTGTCTCAGTCCTTTGTTAAAAAACTAGTTTTCTAAAATTATCAAAAATTCGAAAACCCGAATTTGAAATAAAAAAAAATGCATTGATTCTATTGTTTCTTTTGGCGTGAGTGAATGCAAAAGAAAATTATTTGTAAAAAGAAAAAAAAAAAGAAATTTCGTGAAAGTCCACACACTTGGCGTCGAAATGAAAAATCCAAAAACCCAAGAAGAATTAACGTTTGGAATTTTTTTTTAATAACGTTTACCACACCGCGTGCACCATCCGCGTGAACAGTAACGAAGCGTAACAATTTCTCTCTGAATGTGAAAAAAGCTTCATCACTTCGAACAGAGAAGCTTATTAAAAAAATTATTTTTCCTCTTTCAAATTTTTTCCCCCCTTCCTCCTGCGAGTAGAAAAAAAAACAAACATAATCCCATGATGCGAGAAATATTTTTCTCTCTCGAATGAAAGTTTACAATTACAAACAGAATTTTTTTGTTTCGCTTTTGTGTAAAGAATAATAAATAAAATCGACCTTCAACGTTTGGATTTTGTAATTGTTTAAACAATTGCGTTTTTGCAAACAATGGTAATTTATTCAGGGAATTCTCGTTAAATTCGTTACTACTTTTTGCCAATAAAAATTCAGAGAAAATTTTTTTTTAAAAGAGAGAAGTTACTGACATTTATTTTTTCATATTTCGCTTAACTGGAGAAATAAATATATTTCAATGAACGTTTATTTTTAGAAAGAGAAAAAGAGAGAGAGGGAGAAGGAAATATTGAAGCGAATGATTTGTAATTCAATTATTACCGAAATTTTGTCAAATGAAAGAAAAATTTTGTTACACTCACGTCATCGTCATTTATTCATGTATTCTTGACTATACTATTGTCACACTCATTTTACTCGATTCGCGTTCGCTCTCGCGTGTGAATTCGTCAAAAATACATTCACTCACTGTGTATATTCCACAATGCTCCAATGAATTTACAGACACAATTGTGTCGCAAAGAGATGTAACTTTTTTCCATCGCAGACTTTTCAACAAGAACAAAAGTATAGGAAATTTTTATCTCTAAAAACAACCACCAATATTTTACTATATTTGAAAAAATATATTTACATTCGAAAAATAGTAGATTTTTGTCAAAAAAAAAAAAAAAAATACATAATAACAATTATCAAGTATCAGTAGTCAAATTTATTTTTTTCTTTCTCGATTTTTAGGAAATTCAAATTTTAAATTTACAAGTTTATCAAAAATAAATATATTCAGATGGAGAGGGCAGGGATGGTTTGTGAATGAATATTTCAAATTATCGAGGTTGTCGCAATGAGAGATGAAAAACGAAACAGACCCGTGAAAGGCTGATGCGGTTTTGAGTAATGATAGAGCGAGTGCGAAATAACCGCGACACACAAAATTGGTATTATTACTTTCTATCATGAAAATGGAATTCGTGATACATTACTTGATAGGATATTCATGTATATAGATATAGAAATATAAATATAAGTAAAATAATAAAATTCATTTTATTTTCATAATTTAAATTAGTCAAATTTTTACTGCAATTAGTAACTAGCTTCTGGCTATATTACTCAAGATGAAAATTTAAAAAAAAAATATTTTTAATTTTTTCATTGCTAAACATGACAAAACTTGACAAAATTATGGCAACATTTTTTGAATTTTTTGCTCTGGCTTTATTTTTAATATCCGAATCGTCTGATACGAAAATTCAGGGATTTTTATTAAAAGTACTGGAAGAAATTCAATTTTTAGAATTTATAAGAAAATTCTGAATTTTGGTGTCTTTTTTTGACTCACAATAAAAAAAAATTATTTGATTCAAGTAACCGATTAATTAAATATTATCAACTAAATATTTACTTGAATCAAATAATATTTATTGGAGTCAATTAAATGGTATTTGCTTTACATAATTGATAATTGTCAATTAATCGGTTATTTGAATCAAATACATTTTTTTTTCAGTACAGAAACTATTAAATTACCACGAATTCTAATACAAAACCTATATTTTTTTCAATTTCTGACAATAATTTTTTTATAAAAATCTGATTTCTTGGAAAACTATCATAAAATTCCATAAAATTATTACTCATAAATTATTTAATGAATAATTCTACTTAAATATTTCAAAATTAATTGAATTTTAAAAGAATTGCGTTTATAGTTTTCATAAATAGAAGAACTTCAAAAGATTTTAATTGAAATTTTTGAAAATTTCAATTTTCAATGAGTTTCCTCAGAAATTTACAAAATATTACAGAAATTTAATTATTTTCAAAAGTAATAAAATTCTTTGCAGAAACTCAATTATGTTAAAAAATTTTTAAAAATTCTCGTCAATATTTCAATTATCTTTATAAATAATAAAATTCTTCGCAGATATTCAATTATTTTGTAAATTTTGGTAAAATTCTTTATAAAAATTCACATACTTTTGAAATAATTTTAATAAAATTCTTACTAAGATTTTAATTATTTACATTTCTCGAAAGAATTCAATTATTTACAAAAACATAATTTATTTTTACAGGTAATCAATTTGAGTTAAAAACACTAAAATAATTGAATTTTGGAGAAACATTTCAAATGATTGCAGAAATTCAATTATTTTCAAAATTAATAAAATTCTTCGCTGAAATTCAATTCTGTTCACAAATTTAAAAAAATTCAATTCAAAATTTCAATTCTCTTTATAAATAGTGAAGTTCTTCTTTGAAATTCAATTATATTTAAAAATTTTAATACAATTCTTGGCGAAATTTCAATTATTTTCAAAATTTCTATTCAATTATTTAAACAAAATTTTAATAAAATTCTACGCATACATTTAATTATTTTCATAAATAATATAAATTTCACTGGAATTATTTACAAATTTTTTTTATAAATTTCTTTGCAATAATTCAATTATTTTCATAAATAATAAAATTCTTTTTAGAAATTTTCAAAAATAATAAAACTCATAGCAGAATTTTAATTATTTTTAAAACAATTTTAATCGAATTTCTCGATAAATGTAATTATTCTTAAAAATTTTTATTAAAATTCGTCAAAAGAATTCAATTATTTAAAAATTTGTTGATAAAATTCTTTAGAAGAATTCAATTTTAAAAAACATTCAATTGTTCAATCGTTCAATGAATTGTTTATTTTTGTTTTTAAATAATTGAATTCTAGCAAAATTTTTAATTAAAAATTGATTTAAATATGAATTTTAGTTAAAAACACAAAAATAATTGAATTTTTGAGAAAAGTTACAAATGATTGCAGAAAGTCAATTATTTTTAAAAATTTTTAATAAATTTCTTGGCAAAATTTCAATTATTTTCAAAAAATTTTCCTCAATTGAACGATTTTTAATATTCACTATTTTAATAAAATTTTTTAGTCAAATATTTAAACAAAATTTTAATAAAATTCTTCGCAAACATTTAATTATTTTCATAAATAATAAATATTTCACTGGAATTCAATTGTTTTTATATAAATAATAAAATTCTTTTTAATAGTTTTTATAAATAATAAAACTCATCGTAGAATTTTAATTATTTTTAATATAATTAAAATTTAATTCCCCGAAAAATGTAATTATTCTTAAAAATTGTATTAATATTCATCAAAAGAAATTCAATTATTTAAATTATTTTTGGGAGAATTCTTTATGAGTATTCAATTTTAAGAAACATTTACATAAAATATTTATTTTTTTGTTTAAATATAATTGAATACTCGTAGAATTTTCTAATTAAAATTGATATAAAAATAAATTTTGAAAAGATTTTAAAGTGAAATCTTTGAAAATCTGAATTTTTCATACTTTTAACTAACAATTTGATAGGGAATTAATTTTTTTGAAAAAGTTTAATTAGATTTTTTTTTAAATTAGGGAGCGTTTACTAACGATGTCACGTTTTTGGGGTAGGGGTGGGGGTCTGTACTAACCGTGATACAATGTATTTTTCACATGTGAAATTGCATTAAATTTTGTAACCGGGGGGAGGGGGTTGAAAATCTTAAAAAATTGCGTGGCATTATTTGTAAACGCTCCCTTATTTGATGTTTTTATTTTCTTATATATATTTGAAGAATTTTCGAATAATGGAAATTTTTTAAAATTGAATTGTAAACAAATGAATTTGAAAATTCACAAAGATCATTTTCAAAAACTATTAAAAATAATTGATTTAAAGAAGAATTTTTTTTGTAATTATAATATTACTAATTTTTATGTTTTTATGAAATTAATTTACGAATACGAACGATCTTTATTGACATGATTATTTATTTGTATAGTTAAAAGAGGAACACATTTTGTTTAATACGAGATGTACTTGAGTTGTTATCAAGGAAATAAATTACCTGAACTATATCTCCAAAATCACCTCCAGTTGCGTTGAATGTTATTTTACAGATGTAAGGCACCTTGTCTTCCTTTGGTCGGTGAAGTTCCAGGTCGTAAGTTTTCCCCACCTCACCGTAGTATGTTTTGTTGCAAGCTGTAACAAAGCCACCAGAACGGATATCTCAATCTTTCAGTGTGATTTATGTTCTTCTCCTCGTCGTTTTCTTTTTCTATTTTTTTTAACTCTATATATATTATATAAAGAAGAGAAAACTTTTCTACGCATTAGAATTTTCTTTTTGTCAGTTATATATATATATATATATATATATATATATATATATATATATATATATATATATATATATATATATATATATATATATATATGCCTTTGAAAAAGACGAGAGAAAACCATATAGTACACACTTCTCTCTTGGAATTTAATGAATTCAGTCGGAAACTGCGAAAGTGAAAAATCTTGTGCTCTCAAAAACTTTTCATAGGTTTGAAATGTCATTTTTTTCTCCCTCCTCATAACGGGAAAAAAAACTCAAACAAAAAGTCTCTTCTCATGTAAAAATTATCGCGGAAAAAAAAGTTTCTTCTGCAATAGAGAAAAAATTTCACTGTATTAGCGAAATTTCTCGCTAATTGTTTTTATTTCTGTAAAAACTTTTGCTATTCTAGAAAAATTTAACGATTTTTTTCTTTGTGCTTTTTTTCGTGTGGAAATAAAATTCATCTAATTTTATTGAATTACATAATTAGTATTTTTTTTAATGCAGTTTCCTGAAAAATTCGACTTGTAAAAAAAATTTAATAATGAACATTTAGAGTTTTGAGGAGAAAAATAGGAAATGAAGAATATAATGAAAGTGAATCATTTGTTCTGTGTACGTGCTAGGTTCATTTGTCACCAGGTATTATGGTATAGTTTCGTATATATATAGATAGGGGAGTTTTTGAGGAGAAAAAAGGGAAAAAAGAAGTGAGATAGAAGCAGGACTCGACGAAAACTCATCAACGGCGGGATATTAATTATGGGAGAGCGGTAAAACGGTATTCACTAACAAAGCTGGTTAGAAGCTCGCTAATAGACATATATACATGCCTATATATTTGGGAGATAAAATGTAGCCTGTGATAGAAATAGGTTATTCGTCAGGTATATATATATGTACCCTTCACACGTCAGTGGTAATGACCAGTAGCAGTCAGACAAGTGTGTTATTCCTCTTTTTCACCAAACTGCAACTCATTTATTTTCTCACTTTAAACCATTTATTTCTCTATTATTATTATTATTATTATTATTATTATTATTATTATTATTGTATTTATTAAATTTTTAATAACTAGCAACAATTAGCGCTCTAAAGCGCACGGCTAACTTCTTACTTTCTTTTTAAAATAAAATTAGCAATTTTAAAAATCATAGAATTTACAAATTTTCTAATTTAAATTTTTGTTTAAAACACTAAAAAAATTCAATTTTGGAAAAATTACAAATAATTGCAGAAATTCAATTAATTTCAAAAAAAAAAAATAAAATTCTTTTTATAAAATTCAACTATGTTCAAAATTTGAAAAAATACCAATTATCTTTATAAATAACAATTCTTACTGCATTTTTAAAATAAAATTAGTAATTTTAAAAATAATAGAATTTAAAAATTTTCCAATTTAAATTTTTGTTGAAAACACTTTTTCAAAATTTGAAAAAAATACCAATTATCTTTATAAATAACAAAATTCTCCTCCAAAGTTCAATTATTTTCATAAATGTCAAAAAAAAAAATTCTTGTCCTAATTTCAATTATTTTCAAAAAACTTTTCTAATTTCAATGATTTTCAATATCCACTATTTTCATAAAACTTCCCAAAAAGAATTCAATTATTTAAAAAAATATTAATTCAATGATAATAAAAATAGTAATGATATGTTTTACTTTACCTACTCTCTAAATATTTCAATTAGTAAATTTACTAATTCAAATTTAGAGAGTATTTATTATTTTTTAATTTTCATTCTAGTTAATTCACGTCGGTGCAGTTGACAACGTTTATTATCAACGATTGCAAGAAATAAAAATATTTTTCTTGACGAAGACAATAAAATTCTTTGTTTACAAATTTTTCTATTTTAAATTATTGATGAAAAAATTTTTAGAGAGTATTTATAATTTTTTAATTTTCATTCTAGTTAATTCACGTCGGTGCAGTTCAAAACGTTTATTATCAACGATTGCAAGAAATAAAAATATTTTTCTTGACGAAGGCAATAAAATTCTTTGTTTACAAATTTTTCTATTTTAAATTATTGATGACAAAATTTTAAAAAGTGCTTTTGTGCAAAAATTTGAATAAAAAATATTGTTTCTTCTAAATTGTTGATTATAAAAGTTGTGAACCTCATTAACGTGTTATTTCTATTAATTTACAATTATTATTTTATATTACAAAAATATGAATTTTTAATTCAATTGGTACAGGTAAATGATTAGGGAACATTTATAAATGTTAAATTATAATTTATTGTAATAAAATAAATTAATTTAAAATATTAAATAATAATAATATAATAGGAAAAAGAAAATTAAAATTTTTTGTCAACTCTGTTTCCATTGACAAATTTTGTCCATTTAAAAAAATAAACTAGGATGCGTTTACTTCCATTACAATTTAACTCGAAAATTTTCAGTTTTATTTTTCCTTAAAATTTCTCGCTTTCACTTTCACTCAAAATATTTTCATTTACAATTTTACTCAAAAATTCTCACTTTCACTCAAAAAATTTCCATGTTTACTTCAAAATTCATAATTTTTCCAGTGACAGTGAAAATAATTTGTGTCAATGTCAACATTCTTTGAGTCAAAGAGAAAGTGAACATTTTTTTAATGAAAGTAAAATTTTTCTAAGTAGGGGCCATTCAAGTATTACGTAAGCATATTTTTCAGGTTTTTAGACCCCCCCCCTCCCCCATGTAAGTTTTTTTTATATGCATTAGCGTCATTTTTTCTAATGGAAATAAGCAATAGCTAGACCCCCCCTCCCCCTTAAATGCTTACGTAATACTTGAATGGTCCCGTAAAAGAGGAAATTTTTTGGGTAATGTGGAATTTTTTTTAATAAAAGTTATAATTTTTTGAGTGAACGTCAACACTTTTTTAGTAAAGTTGAAATTTTTTCAATGAAAATGAAAATTTTTTTTAATGAAAATGCCAATTTTTTCAATGAAATTGAATTTTTTTGAGTGAAGTAAAATTTTTTATATTGAATGTCCACATTTTTTTACTAAAAGTAGTGATATTTTTAATGAATATTAAATTTTTTAGAGTAGAAGTGAAACTGATTATTTATTCAGTGACAAGAAAATTTATTTTAGTGAAAGTGACAATTTTGTGACTAAAAGTGAAAGTCATAATTTTTTGAGTAAAAGTCAACATTTATTTAATGAATGTGAACATTTTATAAGTGAAAGTGAAAAATTTTTTTAATTAAAGTGAATATTTTATAAGTGAAAGTGAAATTGACGTCAATTTTTTTTATAAAAAATTTTGATTTTATTATTTTCATTATTATTATTATTATTTATATTATTATTGTTATTGTTATTATTATTAGACAAAAAGATCAAACGTGCTTTGTGACCCTCTAAAACTATCTCGGGCTCAACAACATTTTCTGATAAACCTTTGAAGCCCTATGAGAATTTTGTACTCATGATTTCCGGACGATACACGAACAGGGAAGCCCATTAAAGTCATGAGGAGTGCGTTTCCGATACAATTCGGATTAGACAATCTCTTTTTTTCCCCATTCACACAATTCCATCTCGAATTTCGATTCTCGGAGACTTTGCGAATTAATACAATTAAAACTCTTTTTAAATGTCTAAATCCTGCTTTTCTGAATGCGTAAAAAGCCATACAACAATCAAAATAAACTAAATGTAACAGAAGAGTTTGAAAATATTATTATTTATTGTTGATGTAGTAAATTTTACTAATAAATAGTATAAATGATGTCTACTAATTTATTAGTGAAGTTTACTAATTCAGAAGCAAAAAGTAAGTCACAAATTTTAATTATTGAACATTTTTACTAATTCAAATTTAGAGAGTACGAATATAATTATAAATATATACCCCCAGAGAGTAATTTTATTCAAACTCAATATAATTTCTTTGAGTTAAACATTTAAATTTATTTTATTCAGTTTTTTTTATTTGATTTAGTTATATATTTATTAGACAAATAAGATTTTTACTGATTTTATTTTTAAATATTTCTTTGAGGCGATTCAAATTTCTATAATAAATCAATTAAAGGTTTTTTTTCACTCTGCGTCAAATATATTTTTTTCTTCGTGTGCAAATATATAAAAAAAATTATAAATATAAATTTAAATTAGATTATAACGTGGAAAATATTAATTTAAAAAAATTGACTTTGAAGGAAAAATGGCTTTTATAAAAATTGTTAAAAGCTTAATTTTAACATTAGGCGTGGAAAATTATCTAAATTATCAAGAGAATTTTCCTAATTCGACCATCTAAGAGACACTGGATATATATATGTGTGTAAGACACGTCGATCGTCGACATTGGACCAATATTGACGAAAGGTTGGTTTGTAGTCGCCGATACCAATATTGGCATGCCAATTATTGGCATCTACGTGCCAAACTTCCAGTCCTGATGGACCATTATCAAACGGTATTATTGGTCTAATATTCACGTATAACCTACCACACCATACAATCAATAACACTTCAATTATTAATCTATAGAAATTTCCCTCTTTGCTCCATGTATTATATAGAAATAATTATTACAATTTTTATAGTTCATAAACAGTTTTTATTAGATTTTGAACAAAATTCATTCTCTAAATTTTAATTAGTAAAAGTATTAAGTAATTTGACTTTGTGACTGAATTTTTGCTTTTTAATTGGTAAATTTTACTAATGAATGTCAATTTCCAGTAGTTTATTAGTAAAATTTACGAATTTAAAAGCAAAAAGTAAATTTAAAAAATAGAAAAATTGTAAAATAGTAAAAATTAATAAATTTAAAAGAAATAGTAATTACCATTAATTTATTGGTAAAATTTCCAAATTCAAAAGCAAAAAGTCAGTTAATGAATAG